GCATCTCTTTGAAAGCCAGCTGCTCCTGGAAGGTCTGTTGCATCATCAGCCTCTGTCTGATTTTCTTCTCCATCTCCTCCTGTTACACAAAAGAGTAAGAGCGAGTGTCACCAGTCTGTCACACAGAGAATCAGACAAGCATTCACTCCATACAGTCAATTCAAAATCGCAACATAACACTCTTTTTCCTGTGGAAGGAAGCTGGGCAGAGTAAAGCTCCTTACGATTTCTCTCTGCCTGTTAGCCTCTTCTTGCTCTTCCAAATAAAGCTCCTGACGAACGCGCTCCATCTCTTCACGCTGTTGCCGCTCCTCCTCAATCTTCACGCAGAGCTGCAGAGGACAGAGACGTTAGTTACAGATGCACTCCGGCGTCGTCACCAAAGAGTTAAGAAGCCGAGAGTCTTCACCAATTTATGAAGATGCTCCTTCGCCTCTTCTCTCTCTTTGAGCTTGGCTATCCTGTCCTTCTCCATGTGCTGCTGCTGCATGGCAAACTCCATGATGCGCCGGTTCTCGGCCTCCATCCTTTCTCGCTCCATGCGCCTCCACTCGGCCTGCTGTCTCTTGAACTCTTCGATATGCTGCTGAGTGGCTCGGACTTTCTCCAGTTTCAGCTGCCGCTCCCTTTCAGGAAAACATTTCAAAAAGTCACTCATCCTGTGCTACCTCTGCATCCTGTTTAGAAGGAAGCTGTTGTCTGAGACACTTGCTATTGTTTTTTGCAGGTATTTTTTTAACTAACCATGAAGAGATTATGAATTAGTAGCAACTCACGTCTGATCCTCCTCGTAAATCTTCCTGACGATCTCGTCCACCATGAGCTTCTCTTTGAGGAATTCCTCATACGCTTCCTGTCTCCTGCGCTCCCTCTCCATGAGCTGCTGCTCCAGCTCTTTCTGATACTGCACCATCTCCTCCTGGCGCTTCTGCTGCAGCTTCTGCTGCTCAATGGCTACCCGCTCCCGGTCGCTCCTCATCTTGCGAGCGTAGTCTGCCTCTTCCCGCTAAAAGACACATCATATTTATACAACCTACAGACTTCAGAGCAGCCTTTGTATTCTTTGTACTTACCCAAAAGTAGTAGTTTTGGGTGGGGAGAGTTTTGGGTGTTTTCTGTTAAAATTTCCACACTTCAAGAGTATTTGTTATATTCAAAGAAAGTCTGCCCTCAGGACTCACCATTGTCTCAAACCTCATGGCCTCCTGCTCAGCAATCTGTGCGGCTCTGTCCTTGTTCAGGTACGCAGACTTCAGCTTCAACTCCAGCTCTCGAAGCTCCGTGCTGAAAAATACACAGAGAAAATATTTAATAGGCAGAAAGTGACAAATGTCAAATGTGTTTGTTTACTGACCCAGAGCCTCCAGTAAGTCAGGGTAACGAGGTCAGTGTGTGTGTGTACCTGTTCTCTTTGATATACTGCCTCATTTTCTCCTCTTTCTGCTTATTGTGGTTGATGCGGGCCAGCTCCCTGGCCATTCTCTCTTCCTGTTCAAGCTGCTTTTCCCGGTTAACTCGATCCTCCTCTGCCTGCGAATCACATTTATTTATCACATTTAAAGCTCAGATAAGAGAAAAGTGTCAGAGGGATATTTTTTCAAAGTTTGGATCTAAAATCTGTAGTCAGTTATTGATTATGAAACAAAAGAACTCCTGGCCACAAACATGTGCTGCTGTCTCTCTGTGATCTTTTGTTCTGTATTTCTTTCTAGGGGTAAATATCATATAATTTTAACTCAAGGATAAGACAAAGTGCCCCCTGATGCTCTAGGGGCTTGAGTCTGTGCCCAATAGGCACTGTTTCTGTCAGCACTGTCAGTATTGGCTTTTTAAGGATTAACTATACTAAAAACAAACTCAAAGAACAAGTTCTTCTAGTAATCAAGCAGAAATCTGGGAACAACCTTTGAATTTTCCAGTATGGTGAAGTATCAAGTCACAAGGCATTAAAATTAACATTTTTAGTTGAATTAACATTTTGGATCCATGGACAGTAAACTCCTCACATCTTAATCCGATCAAGACTTGGTCAATACTTTAAAAAGTATGTCTTATTTTGGACTGTAAAGAGTTTAGCTGCAAAGATACTGGTCTGATGTAAAATCAGAAATGGAAAATATATTAGATCTGAAATTGGATACAAATTCCAATAGGTGAGGCTGAGATGGTCTGGACAGGTGCAGCGGAGGGACATTGGATATACTGGACAAAGGATGTTGAAGATGGAGCTGCTAAGAAGGAGGAAAAGAGGAAGATCTTAGGGGGAATTCATGGCTATAATTAAGGAGGGGGGGTTGGTGCTATGGTGAGATAGGAGTTGATCCACTGTGGTGATGGGAACAGTGAAAGAAGAAGATTATATATGTAAATGGAGATGGTCTCAAAATCTCTTATTCTATGCCTTTATACTAGATGTATTCCATTACTTTATTTATGCTGCAAGGAAAAACAACTACTGCTTTATTTAGTTTCATTTGGATACTTTACATGCATTTTAATTAATTCCAGAAGAATTTTATTTAGTTTTTCATTTGAAGTATTTGCTATTATGCTGAAAGGATTTTTCTGATTAAAAATTTCACCAGATTTCAGAATGGATCCATCTCTCACCTGTAAAAGTGAAAACCAATATATTCAGAAAAATAAAACCGAATAGAGCGTGCTTAAATGTCAATTGTCACCCCCGAAACAGACACACAAACCTTGAGCAGTGCGCTCTCTATCTGCTTCTCCTTGAGCTCCTGCTGCACCTGTCGCAGGTACCTCCTCCTCTCGAAGCCCTCCTCCTCCCTCAGGCTGGCCTGGACCTGCCGCTCTCTGTCCACCCGCTGGGCCTCCTGCTGCCGGTGCTGCTCCTGGACCCGCCGCTGAGCCATTAACCTCTGCTGGTGGCTGTACATCCTGTTACCACTCTGTGTCCACAACAATAACACGGGAGGAGAAAACACGTGACCAGAAACCGGCGTTATGTTAACTTTGAGGTCGTGAACTAGCAGCCAAGCTAACGTTAAATTCGCTTCTAGGATTTACCATGTTTGAGGTTCTTCTCCTGGATTCCCGCTTTCTCAACTCAAGCCTTTAACTTTCTTTAACGCAGAAAACTTCGAATGTACTGAAGCGAATGTTAATCCTCGGTGTTTCTGAGCGGGTCAGTAGCTGCCGCAGGTTACCTCGGTCAGTTGTTTAGCGTTTTGTTGTCCTGGGAACGCTTGGTCTTCCTAAACTGGGCCAATGAGTGAGCGTTGGCAGTGACGTCAGGCCCGGGAAACTCAAAGCGGTTTCAGGATGGAGGATTGTTTCTAGGATACACGCCATGAATAACTGACGCACTTCTGAAGGCAGGTGAATGTTTATCACAGTGTTAACAATGTGTCTAATAAATTGTCAGAAGAAAAGAACAATAGATTCCACGTTAATATTTGATATAGGAATACTTTTGCTATCAGTTTAGAGTTTTAGTTTTCAGTTGTTTTCAGCTGAGGTTAGCTTTAGGAGATGCATTGCTTTTTCCATTTTAGTTTCATTAATTTTTGATTAGGTCTCGGAACACTGTGAACGGTAGTACCAACAACAACTAGTAGCGAGGTCTCATTACCACAGGAGGCTGCTGCTGCAAGCACTAGCTGTAAAGAAGTGAGGAAGAGATGAGAACCATAAATGCCAGGGCCAATTTTTGTCTCAGTCCAGCCCTGCTCATAGTAACAAGTCTGACCAAAGTGACTACAAATGTTTTTTCCATGTATGTCTTTTTAGTTTTCCTCCTAAAGAAATCTCACCACTAGCTTCAAGATCAAAATATTTCCTTGATTAAAAGAGGTGTATGTGGCCAACAAACAAATCACACTCAAACTGGCTTGTATTAAAGATTTATTTACATAACAAAGAAGGGGAACACTTGGATCTAAGCCAAGAATGTTGATCAGAGGAAAATGTGTTCTAAGGGGAACCATAGTTTTATAGGAATGTATTAAAAACAGGTTGGATGGGGGTACATTTATAGCGCCTTAATAGACATAGATGCATTTACAAACTTGCTGTACTGTACAAGTGAAAGATCGTTTTTTTGTTTTTTAAACAAACCTTCTGACATTTCAAGCCAAGTAAAACAAACACACAGTATTGTAAAAAATATTTCCAGATCCCCCCCCCCCAGTAATTGTAAATCAAAACCCATCTAGTACCTAATCCAAAGGTATTTATTTTATAAGCTGGAGCTGTCAACTCAGTTAACACAGTGAAATCTACCTAATCTTTCACTCAATGCTAAAATATTCAGGTTATGTTCACCTTTAAAACGCAAACCTTTCAGAGCTGAGATCACTTTCCATGTGGGGAGGGAACCCCCCCCAAAAAACCAACATTCCACGTATTTTCCTAATGGTTTAAATCAGATGTCTTAGTGTTGATAAACTTACTTAAAACCAGCAGGTGATCAAGGTAAATATGTGCTACATCACTTTAACATTTTTACACTTGCTGCACAGCAACCTGACTCTATATAAAGGGAGCAGCTTTGAGGTTCATTACAAATAAAAAATGAAAGGAAATAAAAAGCACATACACAATAGTAGCAACCACACATTAAAACCCCAAAACACTGACTGCCTCTCACTTCCTTGATCCTCTTCCTCCTATCCTAATTAATACAAAACACCAGGAAAACCTATGGATGGGCCCAAGCTGCTTAAACATTCAGTAATTACAATATTTTTGCAGGCAAACTTTTAGGAGGACTACATGCAGAAATTTGGTATAAGTAATTTGAGCATTCTGTGCCGTGAAGTGGGATTTCTTTTTAAGGAAATCTGGTGGTCTTGACAAATTTATGTGTCAACATTTTTTGACAATCACTGCCCTCTTTAGGCCGGCAGGGCGCCAGACACTTTGTGTGTTGGGAGGATCTTATAAAATGAATCAAAAATATTTAGTGGGAATACTCCTGATCAACTTTGCAGGGTAAATAAAACTTTACTGGATCTACTTTTTTTTATTTTTTTATTCACAAATATAAAGACGTTTTACATCTAGTTTCCATTTAACTGTCAGGAATCCGCAAAACAGCCAAAGCAACATCATAAATTTGATGTCTGTAAGAGAAACACTGGTGAGGTGTTTTCTGAATAACGTGAAGTCATTGTTTAGTTAGTCTGTACAGGTTTAATCTGACTGAGGCTGCTGGTCCACAGTCGCACTCTCTGCCGCAGACACAGAGTCGGGACGCTGATCTTCCTCATCTCTGCTCTCTGAGATCTCGTCACAGAGGTCAGGTGTGCTGGAAGACGGTAAAGCGGGCAGCACCGACGTCTTTGAGTCACCTTCAGAGGAAGCCTGGATAACACTTGTTCCTGTGGAAATCTCCTTCTGATCTCCTGCTGGTAACGGCGACTCTAATTCTGGTTTGTCAACAGTGCCGATGGCTGCACCTCCAGATGAGACACATTCAGCTTGTTTTGGGTCCGTTTCCTTTGGTTTTTGAGCAGGTGAGGCTGTCAAGACGTACACTTGGACTTTGGCTGGCTGCCCCACGATGAGCTGCCTGTGTGAAGGGAAGAAGACGGCATTATAACGACGTACTTCAGATTGACGTTCAGCTAGCATGCATTTTCTACCAACAATTT